TTCCACCTCGCCGCGCCCCGCTGATCCCCCACGGCCACCTTGCTTGGTAGCCCCTCGCCTCCCCGCGCACCCCACCACGTCGGGTTGTGGGCAGCGCCCCGCCAGGCAGGGAGTGCCCTGCCGCCATGCCGTGCCCTGACCCCTCCCGCACCCTGCAGATCTCCTTGGGGAGCTCCTCCATGCGCGGCCCTGCCTTGGAGTGCTCGCCAAGGGGGGACACTGGCCATGTCTCCCTTGCGGTGGCCTTGGCTCCAGCATGGGAGAGCCACCTCAACGCCTTGCAGCCCACCCGTGCTGCCTTTTCCGATTTGCCTGCTGACATCCTGTCGTGAGGAGTCACTGCATGTTGGGGAGCAGGGCCTGGCCCAACACTGTCACAGAATCACCGAATAGTTTGGGTTGGAAGGGACCTTTAAAGGTCATCTAGTCCAACGCCCCTGCAGTGAGCAGGGACATCTATTGTGTATTTGCAAATGATTTGTCTTAAAGTGTATTGAAGACAGAAGTAAAGCAGTATAAAATGACGTTACATTTGGCAAAGCACATTAGCGTTCAAGAGGTTTAAAATAATGGGTTCTTTTATAATATGTTTTACTAACAGGGAAGAGATTTGTATATGTTGAGCCATCTAGGAGAGTTAAAGAAATACTTGAAGAAGAGCTTTATTTCCAGAAAGAAGCATGCCAAGTTAAACATCCAGCTGCAGGTAATCCTCCTTATCAGCAAATGGCAAGGGATTGTCAGGGGAAATGAAATGTACATTGTTTTGAGAACTGTAGCAATATTATTATTTAAAAAAATATAGTACTAGAACACTTATGTAACAGTCCGGGGAACATTTAGAAACAGAAGAACTGCATATAGTCTTTATTACTTTTTTTTTTTAGCCTGAAGTTACAGGACCATAGAGAACATGGATATATTCCATATGATCTATCAGTTTAATAAAAAAGAAACAAATGCCAAGCAGTAGGGAGGTTTTGTTACCTTTTTCTTTGAAAGGAGTGCTGTGGTTATTACAATACTTTGTCCTCTTCTGCTGTTCAAAACTGAAGTTGGTGATGAAAAGAACGAGTTGAGGTAAGAATGATACGGGTAAATAAAGGACAAGAAAACTGAAAACAAATAGAAAATCAGTCTGTTTAGGCAGCGTAAAGGTTATGGAGAGACTTGATTACAGTAGGCAAATGAAATGGAAGTCTAAGAGGGAACAAGATGTTCAGTCTAGCTAAACTATTAAAAGTTCTGAGAACTGGAGGTAAAAATGAGTTAAGATCAGAATAGAAATAATTATCAGTTTTTAACAAAAAGAGAACTTAATGCTGGAACAGTTTAAGAAAGATCACTTAGACTGACCATTGTTAATACATACTTCAAATATTTTGCACTTAAACCATTAGCCCTGGACGAGCTCGTTTGTTAGTCTTGGTGCAGGAATGAGCCTGAAGCCATGTGACCCATGTAGAACAAAACTCACATCATGCTGGTGGTTTCTTGCAGCCATAAGATCTATTAATTTAATTGTACAAAAATAATTTTCAAAGGTTTGTAATGTTTAAGGATAGGCCATCTTACGTGGTTGACTACAAGGTCTTACTGCCTTTATCAGCTAAGCCTTTGTATTTTATTAGGTACCTCTTTGTAGATTCCACTGAATAAAGCTGGTTATGCCACAGTTTCCCTCATTAGTTTGTTCTAGTGGTTGGTGTATTAAAAAAAAAAAAAAGCCTGATTAATAATTTGTATTTGCATAGCTCAGCTCCTTGCTTTTCTTGGGTATATAATAGTGCCTTTTTTAGTATCCATGATTTTCTTCCAGAGACAGTATATACACATATATTTGGTTTTGGCTTTTTATGTACTCTCACTAATGGTTTTGCCTCCTCTTTTAAAATGTGAATACCAAATCTGATCATGGTATTTCAGTATTTGTATCACTAGTAGCCTGTAGAGAAAGAATCTTCTTATTTTAGCGCTAACGTTAGCACTAGGACCTTGAACTGTTTGTCAGCTGTTTCTCCTAAATCCATGATGCTTTTGCTCCACAATACACAGTTCCCATTCTGTAGCCCCACATTCTTTTCTGTAGAATAAAGCTATTCCTTGGTTATATTAAGCTGCATTTTGTTGGAATAGGCTCACCACTGCCTTTCCTAATCATTACACCCTCCACAAATGTAATAAGGACATTTTTGCCTTTCTTTCCAAATTTTCCAGATTTTGAAAGAAGTCTTTATGTTTTCTCTTATGTAGGATTGAGACCCAAGTCTAAACTCACTCAACATGAATTTAAAACAGTTGGATTCACAGACAAAAATATACATAAGCTAGGTGATGTAATCAGTATCCTGTCAGATGTAAAGACCATTTGAACCTGCAACTCCATTATTGTGATTAGGCTCCTTAGGCAAATACAGCATACACCTGCAAATGAACTACTTATGTAGGCTCTGTTTATAGTACTTAGAGGAAGTGCAAAGGCACTTGGAAAACATAATTCTTCTGAATTGTCCTAGATACCTACTGTTGCATGTGTTGTGCTCTAACGGTGTCCTTTTCCCATTGACTGTGAAGGGGTTCTGGACAAGTAGCTGAATTACAGATGTTAATATTGGCCTGCTCAATCTGCTCATGTGTCTAATGTATTAAGAGCTGAACACACTATATTTCACTGCATCCATCTGCTAGTGGATCAAAATAGTCTAGACTATTTTAGTTTGATTGTATGAATGGATGCTACCACATACGTTCTCATGATTTCTATGGAGTTCCCCAATGAAATGTATGTTACAAAGGCTTAAAGTACTAAAGATGATATAGAAACACTACCAAAAAATTCATTACAGGAATGTATAATATGGATGTATAACAAGCTCAAAGTATAAATGGTATGTACAGAATAATATGTTATATGCGTAGCATAACAATGCTGTGCATAATAAGGTTAAATAGATGTAGTTGTACAGATTATTCAGCAAGTACCTGGTTCCTTTTTCATCTGTATATATCTGGAGAATTAGAGATGCTCACTGAGTGACCTGTGTTCTAATTAATAACCAACAATTGTCAGGTTGGATTTACACAGTTTAGATAATTAGTAAGTTAGATGGTTAGTAAATTGTAACCTTTCCACAAAAATAAATCAGCTTTTTTTTGTTTTGTTTTGGTGGTGGTGGTTTTGTTTTGCTTGGGGGGATGTGTCTGCTATCTTTTTATGAGGGCATTTGGTATTCCAGTATGACCAGTAAATCATGCCGGATGCATCAATGCTGTTACTGCTATTTCTTATACATTATAGATCAGCTGCATCCTGCTTCAGTTGGGAGCCTAGCAGTCCTAAGCTGTTCTACAGACAGTAGAGAGCGATGTATACCTTTAGCAATCTGAATTGCTCTCTGGAAATATCAATCTCTTTTCATTAACTATGAAGGAAGATTATAGCATTCTGTTTAACTACTTCTAATTACTGTATAGAGCAAAGCGACTGTCTTTTAAAAGTTACAGTAATACCAGAACAAGTTGAAGTAATCAGTTATAATGGTATTATTTTGACAAATTATTAACAGTGGCTCTGGAAGGAATTTGGAGTGTGGAAAAAGATTTCTCCATTGGAAGCCTGAAATCAGTGACACAGAACAGAAACGGTTTACTTTTAAAGCCTCAATTCTACTCAAGGCATGCAGGAATGAAAAGTAAGAGTCAATAATAAGAAACTTTCACTATAACACCTCATTTTAAAATGGCAGGGTAATGTTATTTTATAATTCATAGACAACTCACAGGAATGTAGATCTGTTTTGTTCAAAGTTTTTTTTTCATCAGATTATGTGGTCTTACAGTAATCACCTGTGGGCACCTTTCTGCAGAGCTAACCCACATCTTCCTTTAAGCAGCCAACAGACTTGAAATCTTTGCATAAGAAACATTTAAGACTGCTGTGTTGAGTGACCTTATTTTATATGCTGAAACCTTTTGTAAACATGTGGAATAATCACTTGTTTCCTACTGATGAGTGGAGTGTTGGTTTTGTGCACAATGAACCTTACTTGCCTTTCTTAACATCCAATCCTAACCAACTCAAATGGTTGGAAAATCCCTCCTTCCAATACACGTCCTGAAAAATAACTTGATCTAGGTACAATTTCAGGCATTTTAGCATTTGCCTGCAATGGTCAGCTGGTGCTCTGGGGCATGTATTTCTTTCTTTACAGTCAGTGGAGTGTGGCTTTTGTGCAGCAGATCTGTTCCTTATGAGCTGGTAGATTTTAGCATAGTCTTTTCAGTGCATCCACCTTCTCTCTTTCAGTGAAATGTACTAACTTTGTAGTGGAAGGTGAGAGCTTCCAACCCTAAGGAAACACAGAGTTCATTAGCTTTGTAAGAGGGATATTGTTAGTGCCATGAGCTTGCAGAATATGTGAACTCTGCATATTTTGCCATTAAATGAAGCTTCTTCTTGTGTTCTTGGGGGCCAGTGGTTGAAAAATACAGCTAGCTGCTTGACTAGCACCTCTTTCTTCCTATCTTGATCTTGTGAGCTCAAGATAGTGAGCTCACAAGTGATAGTGATAGAGGAGATAGTGGGATATTAGTTACAACAGCAGCATGGATTAACTTACTGCTAGTGTAAGAAGCGTTTAACCAGTACAGCGTTCTGCCGTGACTGCCTTCACTATAGAAGTAGTACTTGTAGGAATATTTTGATTATAGAGCAGGCCTAATCTATGCTAGGTATTAACGGCAGTCACTTCTGGTGATGTACTTAAACCAAGAAAATTTTAGCCACACCATAGAGAATACAACAAGAATATAACCAAACAATGCCTCAGCGTTTGGAGACATTGGCTGAACTCATGTACCTCTGGCTTCTAGTGAAGGCACAGAGAGTTTTCAAAGATCCTGATCTCCTCCATTTCCTGTTAAGATCTGTGAGAGGAGCATAGCTTTAAAACAAAGCAGTTTATTCAAATTTATTTATGTGTTGAAATTCATGGGATCTGTTGGTTTTCCTTTGGGAACTTAGATGTACTGTCATTCCTAAGGACTGCTGCTAGAGACAAGTGGTGCTCTCCTCACTAGCTATACTGCCTGTTTTGCAGCAGAATAGGCAGGTAACATGAGAGAAGGGGTGGAAGAAAAGAAACAAGACAGGAGAAAATATGGAAGCCATCTGGCTTCAGCTCTTATACTCACGAAACCATTTCCATTCACACACCCTCTTCTGTGTAAGGATCCAGGGAAGAAATGAGGTGGTAACATACTAATTGAGATGGAGTAGGTACAGACTATGGAAATGGACAAAAAGGAAGCAGGGTTTCAGGAGAGAAGATGAGCCTACCGTGTTTAGTGCCAGAAGGAAAGTCATTATCGAGAGGAAAAGGAAGAAGCACAGACAAGGGGAATGAAAGAGGAGACATAGAACAGAAGGTTGGGAATTCCTGAATGGAACTAGCGAGAGGAGAACACAGTTCAGCAACACAGGGGTAAAAACTGAAAGAAAGGAAAAAGATGTAGGAGAAATAAGTAGAAGAGACAAAAAGAAAAAAAAATATATATACACCCATATTGCTGAATTTACTGAAGTTAATGCATTTATTTTTGCTTGTCCCATTTACTGCCTTTCCCTAAAAGTGACTAGCGGTTTGGGGGGCTCACTGTGTGGTGTCTCATCCATCCTTACAGTGGATCTAATTTTTTTACAGATTGCTGAACGGTAGTGCTGTGAAGACCTGAGCCTGTTGTGACGTGTCAAATCAAACATCAAAATGACTAGCTGCCTTTAGAAATGTAGATCGGTATTTCTAAGATCTTGAAGAAAGTTCTGCTTGGATAGGGAGCTATTTCCTTTGTTGTTGTTTTATTTATATCCTTGTACTGCTTTTTTGTCTGATGTTGTAGTAGCCAAATCTGATCCATATTTCAGCCAGTGATGAAGATGTTGCAATCCAAAGATAACAAAATGTTCTGGCTGACAAAAATGACCTACTGTGAAACTTGACATTTTCATAGGCTTCTCTGTTGCAAAGTGATTCTAAGTTCCAGCAGAAGATTGTAATGTAATTGAAGAGATGCCTTAAAATGCCTTAGGCTGAGTCCATTCATTAAACCAAGCAGTTCATAAGCCAAGAGTTTGTGATTCAATATCTAGCCTGATTTAATAAAAGTTTAACAATAAATAAGCCTCTATATATGTAAGAGTTATCATAGTGTCAAAGAACCACAAGAGGCAGCATGGAACCTGAAATAACCTGCCACTAAACTCTCACTCAACCATTTTTACAGTGAGGTAATAGCAAATGATCATTAGTTTGTTTTGTATTACCACACTACTTAGGAAACAAATGTGGATCCTTCTAGGTACTGTATAAAACCAAAACAAAAGATAGCTCTGAAAAGTCGTGGATGGTACCAGAGGAGGAGGTACCAGAGATGGGAGTGACGTTTGCAGCTACAGAATAGCTTCAGTGCTCTGGTAGCAGACCAGAGGCTGGAAGCTCTCTCTAGGAAAACATCTGAGCTGGCCGGGCCCAAACCTGGGAGGAGGAAGTGAAGACTGATAGTAGTTGGAGACTCCCTGCTGTGGGAGATGGAAGCTCATGTTTGCTGCCCCAACATGCTGCCTGGGGAGGTTTGTTGAGGGGGTGGTGTCTGGAACGATGTGGAGACCGTGCTGAGTCTTGTCTGGGCCCCAGACTTTGACTCCCTGCTGCTCTTCCACGGGGACACCAATGATACTGCTAGATGAGGCGTGGAACATATGAAGCATGACTACATTGCCGGAGGGCAAGTCAAAGACATGGGTGCTCAGGTGGTTTCTCCTCAATCCTACTGGTGAGCAGGTAGGGTTTGAGGAGTGGATGGATCAACAATTGGTTGCACAGCTGTTGCTGATAACAGGGAGCTGGCTTTTATGACTGGGACGTCCCCTCCTTGAGGACTAAGAACTGCGAGGAAGAGATGGGATTCACTTCAACAAGGAGATCAAAAGCTGTGTTTGTGTCGTATCTAAAAGGATTCATGATTGTTTCCTAAGTGCTGTGATAACATGAGAAATACATAGTAGTGATCGTTTGCCAGTAGTCTGGCCAACCTGGGGAGAAGAACTGTAAGTAGGAGTGACAGGGGAGGGAGATGACAACCCACGATCAAGTGAGGAGGTGGTGGACCAGGTTGGTGGGAGTGACATTTACTGTCTTCATGTTTAACAATCTAACTTAATGATCAGTCCTCAGCATATTTCTAGAATAATTGTAGCACATTCTTTCCCAAATTAATAATAATTAGCACTTACCCTAGAGTTTTCTTTGCCAGAATTCTTCCCAGACACGCCTCCAGCACATTTGTGGGATAAACAAGTGTTAATATCTGTTTAAAGTAGAGAATCGTATGGTACAGTGAAAAAAATGAACTAGGATGGATGGGTAATTTAAAATCAGAGTTGCGGAGTTCCTTATTCCCAGCGCTAACTCAGACTGATAATTCACATCTTTCCTATGATGTGATCCTAAGACGTGGAGATGGGATTTGTTTCTGGGGCTCTCAGGTCCTAAGGAAATACCTACACCACAATGAATATTTTTAAAAAGGAAGAGTCTCGGTGACAACTTTGTGACATTAGACTTTGTTTTCCTTTGCTTTTTCTACAGTTATCTGTAACTGAAATAGGACGTTTGGATTTTGATTGTCTGGAACTCTTTTCTGACACTAAAAGTTTGTTTTTATTTTTAAATCAGTGAGAAGGGGGAAAAAAAACCCCCAAACTAGTTGGCTGCAAGCCAACTCTTTGCAGCTTTTGCATTTGACTTCGAAATGAAAAGAATTATTGGCACTGAAAATTGCACCTGAGGCATTAGAGGAGTAGCTGCTTTTGAAAACATTATTCTCACTTTTTAGATGCAAATTTGATCATGAACCAGACAATAGTGTTTGATAAACACTTGGTTTTCACATAGAGGCTTTGATTAAGCTTGTTGCATCTCACTTCTACCCTTTGCTTCATTTTTATTCTATTCCCCTCCCCCTGCTTTCTCATTCTTAGTAACTTTTTTTCAAGATCTTGTTTTAAAATTTTCCAAATTAAAATACCTTCTGGGTCTACCCTGGATTCCTGCGCTAGTCAGTTTTGCTGATTTGTGAATCTCATTTGTGCCTTTGCTCCCTCTTCCTTTTTGTGCAACCTTGTATAAGGGAGAAATATCTTTTAGACATTTTCTACTGAATATTTTGGTTACGAGGCGTGGGTAATTCTTAGCTAGTCTGATATATGGACATTCATGACCTTTTTATGTGTCTCATCTTTCATTTGAATAAAATGAAGCAATTGCTTAAATATAATAACATTGCATAATATTATAGTAATGGTATTAATATTACTATGTTTATAATATATTTTCAATATTTTATTAAATGAGGTTTTGGGTTAATTAAATTAACTGTGCTCACATTTTAACATGATGATTTTTGTACAGTCTAGCTGTTCAACTACCCTTTCCTCTTAGTTTTTTAACATTATTTCATTTCCAAACTAAACACTGCTGTTTTGAAAGACAAATGTTATCATTGCTTCTGTGTATTAATAACAATGTTCAAACACTGACACCTTTTAAAGGCTATGTCTACATTATCAAGCACTGAAACACCATAGGAGGGGGTCGAGTTATTAAAGCAATTGGTGTTGAGAGCCCCATAACTA